GACATCATGGATTTTAAGTTGTAATCATCAAAGTCCATTCATTCAGAGAAGGAACGATCTTTGGAACGCATAGTGAATCTCCTTGGAACGCATAGAGAACCTGATTATCTTTTCGTGGAACGCATAAAACCCGGAAACGAAACGCTTAGTGCCGAAAACCGGAAGTGAAATAGCCGCAACTATAGCAGCCGGACGGGACCAAAAAGAAGAATGAAAATTTGCACGGCCGATTGGTTGTTGAGCAAAGGGGGCGGGTTTGGAGGTACCCGTTTCCCGCGCTCTTTTTTATATTTAAATGTATTTGAAGCTTGTGATTTAATGGTGCACCTGAGGAAGACGAGTGAGGTCGTCGAAACGCGTTGTGCTTTGTGTATGGTACTTACCTGTGAACGGCATCATCATTGCTTTCATGTAAGATTTTTATATTTTATACAAATAAATGGTTATACTTGATCTTTAATTTGTATGCCTGTTCTACACCATTTTGCTTCGAGGAACAAGCTTCATACAGAGAAATATCTTTGAAAACCATCAAGAAACACCATCACCCAATACAGACTTTCAGAAATGGGATGTACTATTGAATTTTATACCAGCTGATCCTGTATATTCTGGGGTATTAATGTGTGTAAGGGGTGCATTGAGTGTGTGTAATGAATGCATTGTGTGTTTCTGTGTGTGTAAGGGATGCATTGTGTGTAATGGTTGCATTGCTTGTGTATGTGTGTCTGTGTGTATAATGCATTGTGTGTTTTTCTGTGTGCAAGGAGTGCATTGTGTGTATGTGATGAATGTCAATCTCTCCTCCCGCTCCAATTTCCTTCTCCTCCTCCCAATTTCTCTTTCTCACCCCCCCTCCTAATTTCTCTTTCCCCCCTCCTAATATCTCTCCCTCCCTCCTAATTTCTCACCCCCCCTCTCCTCTTTCTCACCCCCCCCCCTCTCCCGCCTCTTTCTCTCCCCCTCCTTTCTCACCCCCCTCCTTTCTCTTTCTCATCCCCCCTTTCTCCTCTTTCTCACCCTCCCTCCTTTCTCACCCCCCTTTCTCCTCTTTCTCACCCCCTCTCTCACCCCCCCTTTCTCCTTTCCTCACCCCCCCCCTTTCTCCTCTTTTTTCCTGTGGTACGTCATCTTATTTTAAATGTATATTAAACATGTAGCCACTGACACCACAGTACAGCTCTTTTTAATTTGTGCACCTCTCTCTACTATGCTGGCAGACCGGTACAAAGGGCAGAAATTAACTTAGTTTGACATGACCTGTCTTCCATAAAACCATGTTGATTCCTGCTAATTATATTATTGTTCAAAATAAATTCTAGAATATTATCCCTTAACAATTTTTCAAATAATGTCAAGATGACGACACTCATATTCCGGATACAGCTATATTAATTTCTCAATTTAAGTTAAATTTTCAGACTTTACAAACACACATTTGTTAAATGTTTGGGAATAAGTAAACAGAGTATGAAAAATGTGACAGCAACCATTTAGTAGCAGCTGATGGTGAACATATGTGGACAGAACCATTCATTGAAATAGAAATGTTAGCAGTTAATAATGCACATAAAGTTAAAACCATTTAAAATGATTATAATATATTAAACGAAACCCATTGATACTATAAATGTCAACAAATGCAAAAGAAAAGAATAAACAACAAAGAAAACGTTCAATGATTGCAGGAATAAAATACTCCTTTGTAGTATTTTTTATAAGCTTTCTAATGATTTAATAAATTTGTAGAACATTTAAAATAATTTCATATTTTGAAATATAAATTTTAAGTTTGTTAAAAAATATTACAAGCTTATCCAAAAATAATAAACCCAGGCCTGTGTTTGATATAGAGAAATAGAAAATGAATTGTCTTAGGTCACTGGATGTTTAGTATTTCACCATTGATTTATAAAGTGTTAAAGGCTGTTAGATAATCTATTTATTCCTTAGTGCCTGAATGTTGAATATTTTGTTGCCTCCATTTAACAGACATGTTTTCATTTTGGTTGAACGAGTTAGTTGGAAAATTAAAATATTTCCAAGATGGCAGAATTTCATCCATATGGCGTTTCAGCTCAACCAAATTTCGTTAACGGGTGGCAGTTTAGGATGAACCGAAAGGATGTGGACCAAACAGTGAAATATATGCATAATATACATTTCATTGTGTATATATTTACAGTACACTAATATGTGCATTTTCCAACCATTTGGTTCACAAATCATGTGAGAAACACTGACCAATAGAGGGAAAGGGGACGAGCAGTAAAAAAATTAAATAAAAATAAATCTATATTTATATATTCTAATAAATTGTAGAGATATGGGCACTCACAGGTCCATGGGTACACACACTGCCTATACACCTCATATATATATATATATATATATACACACACTGCCAAATGCACATCTCACACACTGCTCTATGGATACATCCATTCATACAGTCACTGACTAAAATATACATCTGTACACACATGCTTCTATCATGGTATGATATGTTCATGTGGAGAGGGCAGGGGGTAGAAGCACATGGATATGGCATCCATTTGTTACGTTTCTTTCCAGTCATCCCTTGAGTTTGTACGGATGCTGGGCAGGTGGTAGGTCTGCCGCTTTTAATGATGACCAGTATATTCTCATGTAGGAGTAGGCCACATGGGAAACACAGTTGCAACGGGCACTCCCTCTAGGCCTAATCAAAGCTTGAGCCCTGTCTGAAATATGTATTTGTTATAGGTGTCTCTAAAACTGATCGTGACAATATACACCATCAGAAAGGGTAGGACCATGAATATCTTGTAGAATCTGTGAATGAATTCTCTTTTTTTTTAATGCCCTGACAACATCTAAGCTTGTCCAATCAATGCTGGATGATCTGTAAAGGCTACCTCTCAGATGGTCCTATACATCCTATGACTTAAGCTGCTACAGTGCCAGTTCCAACAGCAAAGTGCAGGGAAGCTACAGTCAGTCATCACAGGTGTAACCTCAGTCATTACCATGGATACCTCTACAAAAGCCAAAAAAAGAGACATGCTAG